GCTGAAAGTAAGATTAAGGGATGGGGGTTCAGGTGGTGGCCTGGGTGGGTATAATTCTAGGGAGGGACCAAAACTTTGACAGATGAGAAAATTACTGATACTCATGGGAGCCAGAGCTCTGAACAGCCAGCCTTTTGATGTTTTTTTTAAAATCCCACCTCTCCTTTGCATGGTCCCCTCCCTCACTGACCCTTGGCACTACTCTGCAAGCTAGTACATCAGTAGTTCTATGTGCATCTGAGAAGATACTGGAGCCTCTGCTTTAAGAGGAAAAGTGAGAGGCATAATACTTAAGAATCAGCCAAGTCATCCAGAGAACAGTTGGAGCAGCAGTTTAGGATAAGCTCATAGAACTACACAGGCTTCCTTATTAAGCAAGGACCTACTAGTTGCTGGGTACCACATCCCCATTCAAAGAAGCCAAGTGGTTTCTCAAGAGGTATATCTGAGCATCTGCCAAGGCTCATCAAACATCCCATCTACCATTTCCGTGCATGCATGTAAGCACAGATGATGCTGCCAGAAGGAAGCAGAAATCATTTCCTACTGACTCACAGCCCCAGCTCTGAGGACACAGGTGGTGTTTGCACTGCACCTTCCCATTGAGGAATCTATAAGCAGGCACATAATTCAAACCCCAGAATTTGGACCCTGGGCAAGGGGCATCACCAATGATATCAGATTGACCACTTTGGAAATACCTGCTGTGTTGGGAGCTTTTATAATTCTGATCCCTTTTGCTCTCACTCATATTTTTAAGTTAGGCCAAAAGGGATTGTAAATTTTCTTCAATCACTATGTAAAATTGAGCAAATTACAGAACTTTTTCTGGCTTTTTTTCTTTAAACTACAGAGAATAATACCTTAGAGGCTTGTTCTGAAGGTAAAACGCAGTAGTTTATGCAAACTGCCTGGTTGTTGGTAAATATTTGGAGAAGAAAGAAGATATGTATTTTCTGATACCTGAAGCATAAAAAATCATATAATTTCATGTACAATAATGATTATTACTGTCATTAATAACCAAACAATGTAGCCAGGTCACTTTAAGAGAAGTGAAGTAACAGGCTCGTAACAACACTGTAGGATCAGGCCCTGAACTCCAACCAGCTGTGACCATTTTCTCACCTAGCAATAAGGGACATTTCACAATCACCAAGAAGATAATGATCAGCTGGTTTGATGTCATTATATTTAAACAAAAATATGAAAGAAAATATTTATCGAACTGTGTATAATTAAATTTAAGTTTAGTGTATAAATTGAGTGCATCTCATAGGTTTTTGATTAATCTTTCTATGGCCTTTTAAAATTTAAAGAATAATTTAAGGGGAAAGTTGTATGCAAGTTTAAGAAAACAAAACCCGGAGTGCTATTTTGCTTCTTTTCTAGAATTTCCTGGCTTACCTGCTGTAAATTTTCTTCTGGTGTTTCCAAAATTCGCCTGTGATGGTTATGATCATGCCGTTTTCCGTGTTATTATGTATTCTTCACAGACCCCATTTTTATGGTTGTATCCTATCTATCAAGTAGATATGTCATAAAGGTTATTTAGTCACTGCACTATTGTTGGTCATTTAGGCTGTCTTAGTAGGTAAGTGTGAAAACGAAGGACTGATGTGGATTTCACAATTGCCATAATCACCCTCAGGGACCTGGTGTCCTGCTCTCCTGATGTTCAGTGTGCTCTCTGTCATTTGATATTTAAGCTTGATGAATGTCAGCTCTTCTGCTAGAGCCTGGGGTACATTTGCACATGGATTATTTCTGCCAGTTTGCAAGCCACAGAGTCTGTGTTTCATCCTCGTGGTAACTAGAGTGTGGTTGAACCTAGTAAGCTTAGCTCTAGCTAGCTTCACATGTGGGGCAAAGTCTTGAAGCAGAAAGAAGTAATTCACAAAGGAATTTTGGGATGTGGTGTCCTTAGTGAATTTCATATTTATCTGACCCGCCTGGCCAAGGGAGTGAGAGGTCTTTTTTGGCAATTTTGCCCTTGCTCTGTAAAATGATTTTTCTGTAGTCCATTTGGGCCTGGGCTCAGCAAATCGATTAGGTATCGCCTCTAAGAGAAGATTAGATTTGTATGTGAAATGGACCCCAGGGTCCCTTCAGCTTCTGAGTTTTGGCTGCTGTATAGAAGTCACAGTGCTTGAAGCCAAATCTTATGCCAAGAGGGAATTGGGAAGGGAATTTCAAGTGGGTCAATCAATGGTGCTGGCTTTCTACCCCACCCCCACCCCATGTCTCCCAGACCTTAGTGAAATCCTTATCAAACAACTTCATATAATTTTCCATTGACACTTAAAACCTCAAAAGATTGCTCTGACAAAGTAACTACTTAGAATACCTCCCACATTCTGCTCAGTCTGTGGCGAGCTATCTCTAATACCTCTGATGCCTAAGGATTTTTAAATCCATACCGGGTCAGATATAGTATATATAGTATATAGTATATAGTATGTAGTATGTAGTATGTAGTATGTAGTATGTAGTATATAGTATATAGTATATAAAGTATATAGTCTTACTTGATCAAAACTTGTACCCTTGCCTTTATTTTATAGTTAAAAGTGATGTTTTGTGACATGAGTGAGACTGTGTTTGTAAGGCTGAGTTCAAGGGCCAAGCATTTAGGTAAGCACTTTACATATATTAACTGTCACTGTGTGGGTAATAGACCTAGTGTAGGCAGTACTGTGTTATAGGAATATTTGGTGGACAGGTCTCACCAGCTGGAAATGCAGACTTTGTGTTTGTTTAAAACACTGACTAAACAGAAAACGGGCACTGTGAAAAGAACTTGTGTTTACTTAATTTTAAGTAGCTTTCCCTGAGAATAATTGCAGTATGGATAATCTGTCAACTGTGTAGAATTTGCATGGATGTGTGGGTAGCACATGTGTGCATGATGTGAGGAGTATGGGGTTTTGTGGAAATTATGCCATCCACCTATTATTTATTGTTGTTTATGGCTTTGTGTAAAGAATGCATGGGTTCAGGATGTGTACGGATACACATATTTATGGCTATGGACATATGGGCTTTGGGAGCAATGTGGGCTTCCAGAAGAGAGTAAGTCAGCCACTCAGGGCTGTATTTACAGAGCACAGCTGGAAATGCTCTTTTGGTCTGGCCATTGGCATTTAAAACTGAGCATGCTCAAAGGCAAGCAGCTACTGGTGGGCCCTGCCACGTGTTCAACCAGTGGGGAAACTGAGTGAGGAAAATGAGATAAGTGCCACACTAAGTGGTAGAGCCGGGAGGTGACGATGTTCCATTCCAGAGAGTCAGCACACAGATTACCCTTTGACTATGGTAGACCTTGCTGTTTTATGATGGGAGTGGGGTTTCTTTTGGGAATCCCCATAAGGAGGAGCCTCCTTAATCTTGATCTCTCATTACCTTTGAGGGTGCTCAAGACTTAAGGCCTCAAAATGCATAAGACTCCTTCATTTCTTCCCTCCCTCCCCATCTTTCTACTTCTTTCCCCTTCTCCCTTCTTCCCTTATCTTTCTTTAGCCCAGGTTAGCCTCAAACTTACTACTTAGGCTAGGTGGACCTTGAACTCAACAATCCTTGTGCTTCAACATTCCGAGTTCTGGCAACAAGCTAACACCACTACACAGATCTCTCTCTCTCTCTCTCTCTCTCTCTCTCTCTCTCTCTCTCTCTCTTGCCAGGATTGCACACATTAAAGGTGTAGAAAAGAAAAAAATTAACCTTCAGTGGATGAAGATCATTTTAAAGTTTAGAGAGATTATGACCTGTCAGAGAGTGTACTTGAACTGGCTAAGCTGCTTCAGTCCCTCAGCATGAAGGAGACTACTGGGATGGGTGTCAGCAGGGTGCTAGTATTGGCAAGAACTAAAATCAGGTCTCTGATGAATTAGGTTTCTGAGGCCCCTCCACTTGGTGCCTCCCCTCCCTTGCCTGTGAGGGGGCAGAAGAAAGAAGAGACAACTCCAGGTTTGGTCTATGGCTGGTGACCAATGACGCATTCTCACCAATATAGATTTTGGAGTTGGAGACTATGGAAAAACAGGTGGCCATGGGGGCAGGTGGCAGCCTGAAGCGGGTGGGGCTTGTCAAAGGGAAGTGAAGGACAGTATAAATTTGGGGGTGCATGTGTGTGGGGGGTCCCTAAGGAATCTCCAAAGTAATGCATTAGCCTCCTGAAACTTTAAAAAAGAAAAGTTTTCCAAATGTACTTTATAGAAGGCGTTCCAGAAGGGTGAAATGGGATACACAAATTGACACAAAAGCTGTGAAGTTTAGATATTTATGCCGTCCATTCCATAGGGGTAAAGAAATCAAACGCTGACATTAAGCACCAAGGAAAGACCCAGAATAAAGACCCCAGGCCTTCACTACTGAGCAGTTTAGGGCAATGAGCAGTTACCAGAGCCTAAGCTGTCCCAGATTGCCTGCCAACTACATGGATGACCTTGGGCAGGCCTTTCACTTGTCTGGTTTCAATATCATTATCTCTTAAATGGAGGGGTTAAATTAGACAACTCAAGAGGCCAGGACTGCTATTCTTCAGCTGAGATTGGGACAAGGGGGACAGGCTTTATGGCAAAAGGAAACCCCACCTCCAAGTCAGGGTCCCTGGGTTCTGGATGCCCTGCAAGAAAAGGTTCTCCTGGGGCCTTAGAGCGCTGGGTTGCGGGACGGCTGGCTTGCTGGCCAGGAGGCTCTGGCTGTCCCCACCTTAGGATAGAGCCAGGGCCCCCCCCCCCCCCCCCCCCCCGTGCTCGCCCCGAGTTCTGTGGAGCCATTAGTGCGATTGCTCTGAGTTCCCGGCAAAGCTGGTGATTTATGCGGGTCCTCGACGGGGCAGTCCCTTGAGCCAAGAACAATTAGCTAAAAGCCAGCGGGAAAGGAGACAAGGGGGTAGGTGGGGGGAGCCAAGCCCTAGGGCACCCAGCCGGGGCTGCAGCCCCCCCCCAGCAGCCCCCAGCTGAGCACCCCAGCTGAGCGACAAGGTGGGTCCCACTCACCACGGCGGGGGCGGGGCTCAAAGGCCGATGCGAAAAGGCAGTCCAGCATCCACGCCATAACCCGTGCTGAGTGCCTGGCAGCCTCGCAGCTAACCTCCTCCGTGCAGTCGCCCCTGCAAGGACTGCTCTAAGTAGCCCCCGGTGACCACGCCCTGGGCCGCACCCTGCACCCAGCTCTGAGAATCTTGGTCACCGGACACCTCAAGCTTGTCAGAAAGGGGGCAGGGCCTCATGAGAGGCCCCCTCCCGCCCGCCAGAGGGGAGGGCCTCTGGCCCTGCAGCCCCTTCCCCCACGCAAAGGGAGTCCAAGACTCAGCTCCTGTCTGGAGAAGCTCTGACTTTGAGGACAGTACCCTGCCCCTACCCTCTGGGAGCTCACATTTTGAAGGATGACATCCTAGCCCTGGTGAGCCCCAAATCTGAGGAGGGCCTTCTGTCCTCGACCCCCCCCCCCCCGGTTGCCCTTGGTAGAGCATTTAAAAATCAGGCCTGTGTCCAGAAGCTCCTCTGTTTGAGGACACCATAGTGCACCTGTCCCAGAGAACCTCAGATCTATATCTCAGCCCCTAGAAACCTCCATGTTTTAGTGGAGGTTATCTCAACTGTCAGGGAGCCCAGTCTCTGCGGAAATTAGTCCTAGTGTCCAAACCCCTGAATTTAAATGGGGTCTAAATCCTTAGGAATATTTCCCTCTCCTGACCAACACTCCCCACGCCCACTTTTAGGAGACACCTCACCTCAGCAAATTCAGCACCAAATCCGATATAGTTTTAAAGCTCTGGTTCCTTGTTGAGGACCCAGAATGTAACTGGGAGAGTCGACATTTTTCCTCCAGGAAGAATCAGAAGAATGTTATTGCCCTGGCCTTGAGATTTTCTCAGGAAAGGGAGTGATATTCTTCTACCTGGTAAATTTTGTTTTAAGGGGTTTGATTCCTACCTGACCTAGAAGTACACAGTGTCCAGTACTCATAAATGTGGGGTGCCTTAAGTTGCTGCCAACTTAACTGCCATGGTCTAAGCTTTTGTTAGAGTACTGGCATAGGAGGGGCACCAACATTTATTTTTAGAAAGAATTTGATATTTGATATTTCAGTGAGGAGTGGTACTGTGTCAGATATCTTTGCACTTATCTTAAGGCTTTGTATTTTGAATTTTTATATACATATGCAAGGCATGTCCTGCAGTGGGCTCAATGTTTGGGACTCCTGGTGTTAGTAAACAAGCTCTACCCCTCCTCAATCCTGAGAGAGACATAGCAGCCACCAGAGACTGGACCACACTGGGCAAGAACATTTTCTAAATGCAGTTTCCTCTTTTTTTTCCTTCAAGCCTTAAGACCCACATTAATTTCTACCCCTTTTCTTCATTGCTAGATGTACAAATGTGACTCTGTGCCCGCAGTTTCTCCACTGGGAAAATGGTATTCTGTCAATCAAAATGCAGTGGGGAGGTGGAAAGAAATAAGGAAAATCTTCCAACAGCTCGTTTGTGGGCCAGAGGAGTTGAAGCTGCAATCACAGGTCCTTTGAGGAGAGTAGTTATTACATTTGCTTGGCTAACCACTGATATTAGTGTTAATGTGGCAGAAGGGGTGCATTAAAAGGAAAAATCACCTGTACTCACCCATGCAATTCTTAGCAAAGTAGAGCTATAGCTAGAATTTAAAGGGTTTCAACTCATTTTCCATTCTTTCTGGGAAACATGGTACCCCTTATCTTTTGCACCATTTTCTAAACCATTTGCAATTTCCCACATCTTTTAAAAGCAATCAAACATTGCAAGCTCCTTCACCAATTTCTGCTGTGCAAATTCTCAGTCACCCAAGCCAAACAAGTGTGACACCTAAGAAAGCCCACCTTCAGGTTCTGGATAGTGACCTTACATATTCTCTTGAGCTTACCCAGCACTAGTCTCTTTATAACCTCAGTGGAATCCTAGTTTTAAAAAATTCGACTAAATGAATTTTTGTTTGACTTACTCATGACAAAAAAGGCTACCTGCTTACCTGTTCCTTTTTTAGGTCTTTGGTAGCTGAATTTCTTGCTTTCAGAATAGCTCTAACTGAAGCCTAAACACAGGAAGTGATCCTTCTCTATGGTCTTTTTTATTTTATTTTTTCAAGAAGTGTGATGTGGAAAGGTTAAAAATGCCCGAACACCTCACAAACCTAGATAGTGAATCCAGCTGTGTTATGCACCAGGTATGTAACCTTGAGAGAGATGTTCAACCTCTTGGTTTTTTTCATATGTAAAATGTAGATGCTAGTCGTTGTTAGCAAGCCAAAGCATACACACTTCTGGAGGCAGAGGAGAAAGAGAAATATAGTGTTCATAATTCTAAAAACAAAATAATAGAGTTCCATTTAAAAAATCTTTACTTTAACTAAATGTCACATAATAGGGCAATGCATTCATCCATCAATCTCCTAATTCATTCAACAAATATTTACCAAATGTCCTCTAGGTGCCATATTTAGTAATGCAAATAATGCTGGTTCAATGGATGAATTATTATGCAATTATTTTTAAATATGTAATTTGGAAACTTATATGATAATCTGAAAGTACACTTATGATATTTTTAAATAAAAATAAGTCAGGATGCAAAATGTATGAACAATATAATCCAGACAGTGCAAATAAATAATATGCCTATATGTCGGGAAAAAAATGCTAAAAGGAAATACACTGGAACTTAATCATGATTGTATTTAGGTAATACAATTATGGACAATTTTAACTGTTTTATTATTTTCATATTGTAGGATTTTTTAATTTTTCTTTAATAAACACATTATTCTCTAGAGTTGGAAAACTCTGCTCAAAAAATAAATAATATCTTTGTTGAACAAAAGACTAAGCCAGATATGCTAATAATTTAGGACTGTAGTTCGGGGTTGTACTAGTGGCGTTGGTCACTTTGGTGACTGGGAAAAAGCTCATTTCCTATCTGGAAGCACATATTCAGTTAGCTCATCTTTCCTAGTGCACAAACGTCCTTAGTAGCCCCATAAAAGTTTCAGGAGCCTACTGATGGACCTGCAACCACTCATGACTAGGACATATTGGGCATCTTTGTCCTTATCTTGACAGTTCAAGGCCTAAAGCTTGACTGTTAACAGTCTCTTAAGTCTCCTATCATATAATACAATAAGAACCATGGACTCTGATCCTAATTTGGGCATAAGTCTACTGTGGAGTCTTTAGCCACTGTGATGAAGTCATCTAGGGATTCGGTGACCTTGAAAAGGAAAGCTTCACACCTTACTTTCTCTTTAAGTATAAAAGTGTATTGTTACCATAAAGGAAACAATGGTCAATAATTAAGCTCAGCTGTAAGACTCAAAGGCCTTTAGAATTTGTCAATGCTCATTGTTTCTCAGGGTATGGTGTTTGGGGCAAGAAACATCAATTGGGATGTGTTAGAACAACTCACACTCACTCCTTGTTCTCACTCCTCTTCTGCTGAATAAGAATTTCTAGTCTGGTATGGTGGCACACCTGTAATCCCACCTAGTCAAGAGATCAAAACATGGGAATAACAAGTTCCAGGCCAGTTTACAAAGCAATGTGAGACTCTCTCAAAATAAAAATTTTCTTAGCATGTGAGACACCCTAGATTCAATCCCCAGGAAATCGTCAAAACAAAAAGAAACAAGCAAAACCGTTCTGGACATAGGGACCAGAAAATATTACATTTTACAAGTTACCTCACTGGGGTTTTTATGGTCACTAAAATTGGGGAAACTATTTACCAAGGAAATAAATCTGTTGTTGTAGACCCCGTACCACTCTTCCCATTGCATCTAAGCTACAAGAAACTTTAGGGCAGTCATCAGGAAAAACTGATCACTTTAACCCCTCTCTACTTCCTTTTGGGGAAATGGATAACTATGTACTACAAGAAATGGACCATCTTAAATCTTAACCTTTATAGTTATGATGTATTCAAAAGTTCATCTGTTTGAACTTTCTGAGAATCCTTGTATATCGGCACTGCTTAGTCAGATTTTTCATTTGAACATTCTATGTGCTAGGCTCTTTTCATTAAGGAAAAGGGAGGTGAAACAATGTAGAAAGAGCTGAGTATTTGGAAATAAGATATCAGGAATAAGGTCAACATACCACAGTACATGACCAGATGAATGAGTGTGAGCATGACTACTTCTCTGAACTTCTATGAAATGGAGGATGAGTCTTAGTCCCTCCCTCACAAGAGCCCTCAGGAGAGACAACAATGCCCCTACCTATGGGCCTGTAGAGGGAATGGTAGATTAGCAATCCTGCTTCCCAACATATCCTAGTTTGAGAAGACCTATCAGAATGTTCATATGTTGTCCATACCAATTATACATACTCCATAAAGGAAACCCCAGTACCAAGGACCTAAAAATTCTGTCTTCCTGGTTTCTGCTTGAGATGTCTGAATTCATAGTGACATGAAATCATGAGGAAATGTTGTGGGTCTTGAGCCTCAGATGGTCTTGTCTTTTATCTCTTAGGTATAATTGTACAAGGAGAACTGGACCTTTCTTTTCAGCTGTTTAATAGTATTTTAAGATATACTGCTTCCATGGAGTTTAATGTTATGGTTTTATTCCTTCCAAAGAAAAGCCTGACAAAGTCCTCTACTAAGGCTTGTAAGATAGAAGTGAAGAGTTTTTATTCTTGTGTTTTTAAGTTACAGAGGTGAAGTAAATTAAGTGACTAGTCTAAAGTCACCCAGGGGAAGACAGATGAGCTGAGACCAGTCTCCAATTCTCTCACCCCCCAGCCCGTTCTTTACCAGTACTCCTTGCTAGATCCCAGGAGCTGTCTGTCAGTGCTGACACCACTCAAGAAAATGCAAGTTTCATCCTGACATCAGAAAGACAGAGACACGATTACGCTTCAGTCCCCAAGGAGGCAGAGAAATTGCTTTTAGTTGACAAGTGCATCTCCCACACACATACCCCCCTGGTTGAATGAAAAGATAAAAATCAAGTTAAAAAATCCAAACTGTTCACTTAATCTTGTAAAGCATTTTGTTCTTTGAATGAGGGGGTAGGCAGGATGAA